GCGGCGGCGGCGGCAGCAGCATCAAAGAGCCTCGATTCTTGCCGCCCTGGGAGCCATGCGCTGCTGTCTGTAATGTCAGCGGAACAGGAGAAGGACCCCATCGCGCTGAAGAGATCCCGAGGTACGGTAGGGGCTGGGCCGGGCCCCGGGGGTGGCCGCTGCCGGGGCCTGGCTCCCGTGCGGAGCGCTGGCCGAGCCGCGGGATGCGCGCACCGCCCGCGCCGGCGCTGCCCGCCGGGCTCCCCTCGCCGCGCTGCGCGGGCCGCGCCGCCCCCGCCGCGCTCCCTCCCTGCGGCTGCGGCGGGGCCGGCGGTGCGGGGGCCGCTCGAAGTTTGGTCGGTGGGGCCCGGCCGGGCCCCGCGGGCTCCCGCAGCCTGCGGGCCTTGAACAGCAGCCCCGGGGCTCGCTGTGCGCGCAGGTGTGCCCTGCGGGGGAGGGCGGCGTGCGGTCCTGTCTCTGTGTGTCTGGGGATGTGCGGCACATTAGTATGCAGCGAGCATACTGCTGGTGCAAGGGAATACGGCGGCACTGCCACATGTCCGAGTTCGTGCTGATGCAGAGCTCGTAAATTACAGTTGAGTGTTCTCTCTTCTGCCCCCAGTCCTGCCTCCTGTGCTTGAATCTAGCTGTGATTTTGTCTTTCCCTTTTCGGGAAAACAAATAAACAAAAAAATCTGAATATTATTCTTTAGTAATAGCACTGGCGTGTGGCTCTGGTGAGGTTTGAAGTATGCGTTTCTTTCAAAGGTGTAGGCAGAAGGGCAGAAATGCAGGGTCTCCTCTGACTTCGGCAGTGCAGCTGACTTTAATGGCAGTGTCATATCAGCCTGCGTAGTGATGGTTGTGTCCTTATAGTCCTTACACACAGAAATGCCTTTCTGAATGAAATAATCAAAGACAGTAGGATGGGTGACAGAGTTGGGTGAAAATCATGGCAAAATTATAAAATCTGCAATTTAGTGCTTCTAGGTTTCTTGTCTCCTGTTTTGCCTCTAGAATTCTATTGTTCTTGATGTTTTAGGCATTTTTCTGGTTGGGTAAGTGGGAAAAGGTGTGGATTCCACGGTGCATATTGTCATTGATTTACAGTTTGCTTTTCTAAAACTGTTATAGTAACAGCTGGATTGCGAGCTTGAAAATGAGAGAATGAAAACACACAGCAGTGTTACAAAGGAGACTGGAAATCATTAGACTCCTCCACTCTCAAGCCCTGATTTTGCAAATATTTAAGCATATATGGTTTCACATGCTGGAGTTACCCACCAAGTTCCACCCGATTACAGCTTAATATCAAAACTGTTTACAGTCTCAGGGCCACAGAATAGGCTTACCAAATCTGGTTGAAATTAAACTATTTTTAGTTTTCTGTCTATAATGAAAAGTTTTTTTAGCCGTTTATGTTTCTTGGGAAAATGTTCTTACTGAGATAAAGCACTGTTTAAAAAGACTCTGACATCTATCCTCTAAAAACCTAGACAGTGATTTATCAGTGAATATGAAAATATTCCATACTGTATTTGCAGTATGTTAAGTATGGCATAAATTAAATGCAAAGTCAAAATCTCTTAATGTATAAACAAAACTGTAATTTGCAGTTCTCCTAACTAACACTGAAAGTGTCTATCTTAGTATGGAGTATGAAGTAAAAGAGAATAGGAGGCTTATCTCTTGTCCTTTGCCCAAGTGTGAATGGCTGAAATTAATTTTATCTGTAGTTTAATAGGGGCATAGTTATCAGATATGTAGTTATTTATCTCTTTAGATCCATGAGATAGATGAGGTCCCAGTCAAAAGGATTGTAATTTTGCCTGAAAAATTAGTCTCAGACAAGGAATAATTTTTCATTAGTGCAGCGTTTTCCAAAATGCTTGGTACACCTTTAATGAAAGTCTGTGTGGTAGGTACCAAAAGTGACTTTGTGGAAAGTTTATTTTGGCTTCATGAAAATGAGCCTTATTCACTCTTTTTTTGGAGGTATGCTAGGACTAACATTCTGTTTCCTTTCATGTATAAATTAAATCATTATAGAACCCACAGGGAAAATATAAATTCTTAGGGCTGAATTAAATCATTGGCCTCACACAGTGAGAACTGAAAATACAAAAGCTTTGTGCCTTTCCAGACACAGGACTCCTCTCTGTAAACCGAGGCATGGGAATGGCTTCACCAATGAAAGTAATTCAGGTAGAAATTGATGGAACTTGTCACTGGAATTCTAATGTTCATATGCTTATGAAGAATGATACCCCAGGGAGGGAATTTATACATAGTTTTATAAAGTTTAAACTTCAACTACTGTAAAGCAGCACTTGTGTATGACCCTCAGTATTCTACTCAATCACAAATTTACTGAGTTGTTGAATTTATTAAAAGAAATCTGGATATTTGGAGTATTTTGCTCTCAGTGGTTAACATCATTTATGTTTTAAGAGTACAGGGACATGAACAGGAGTGTGATTTATGCAGCTGTGAGGAGTAGTGTTCACAGTGCAATCTTACACTAAATTTAGTATAAACTTATAGGAACACTGGAGAAGAAGATGATAGGAAGTGCAGGAACAGTTTTGAGAGAAGAGATTATAAAGAAGATGATTTATAGAGTTGAAATTTAGGGGAAATTTGCCATCTTTTTTATGTAAAACTTTATGCTGTAATCATTTAGTATCTACAGGTAATGCAGTGGCAGTGCTTCATAGCACACTAAGTATATGCAGTATTTTATATTCTAAATCAAGGCAAAAAGGTCTCCTTTTAAAGAGTAATCCCTAATTTCTCTGACAGTATCTTAGGCTACAATATGCTATGTGCAAGTATGAGTTTATTTTGAGAACTTGGTTGTGACATCATCTTGTCTTTGAAATTCAGACTTAAAATTTGATAGGTGTTGATCTGGGATATCCGTAAATCTTCCTTATGTGTAATGAAAAGTAAAATCAAATATCAGCAGTGACAGCTAGAGCCAAAAGGAACTTATTAAAGCAAAGGCAGAACTGGACTCTTACTTGAAGTAGGACTGGTAAATTCCCTGAAATCTCAAAAAAAAAAAAAAAAGGCAGGGAGGAAGGAAGTGCTAGGAGTGAAAATTTTTCCGGCCTCCTTGGATCAGGAGTGTTTCAAATAACTTGGATATTATGGTCTGTGTAGAGTAGGACTGCTGCTTCCCTGTGAGATTTTGTGTTCCATTGCTGAGTAGTCCTAAAGCTGGTTTACCTGTCTGCTGGGAGCAGTTGTCTAACAGGGCAGTGTAATGTCATACGTTGTGCTGTTTTGCATAATACTGTTGATAATTCACAGTTATCTCCAGCTTGTCTTTGGTAATGAAGACCCGTGTGTTCAGCTGAATGCTTGCATCTTGATAAAGTTTGACTTGTATTCTTGTAACCAACAACAGTAAAAGTTTTAGGTTGGATTGCCTACGTACTCTTCTGTTATTATATATTTATATAAAAGAGCAAATAAGCTGTTACCTTAATGGACCTGGGAAAAAAAAGAATTACTATGGTTTCTTAATAAAATGATGTTAGTACTTTAACATGTGTTGCTCTCATGTCACCTGAAAATGCTTCAGCTCAGGGTTTTCTTTGCATTCCCATATTGTGGCAATTTCACATGAGCCCATGAAGACAGACTGACTGGGATAATAATGGGTGTGCTATATTTATTTTTCATCTATGGTCTAACGAGGGTTTAAAAATGAAAACCACAATTTATACAAACTGTAGAACTTGTCCCACTGTTGTGAAAGGTGAAGAATCCCAGGTGAAGTACAGATATCTCTTTGTATTGCTCAAGGTCAAGTCTGATTGAGCAACCAGTGAAATTAGCATTTCTTACTTCTTTTTGTGCCAGGACAATCTTGCTCAAATAGAATAACTATTCTATGAGGTTTCTGCAGAGGTGGGCTGGTTCACTTATTGGCAGGTGTCTTTTTGTTTGATCAGGTCTTGCATTTAATGAAATTTAGATTTGATGCACTGGGGATTTGTCTAAACAACATGGCAAGTTTTAAGTGGTTTTTCTTCATGGATCTACTACTGTTTGCTTTTCCTTTATGGTGGATTGTAACACTGTTGTATATTGCTACACTGAGTTTGATAAATGCTGTGTCAATGTGAGTTAAATAAGAGGTGAGTCTTAGACATGGCTTTTTGCAGTTCTTTTGAAAGTTTTGTGATTTACGCAAACAAGAAATACTTCTAACTGGTGACGTGGAGATGTTAAGAACCAAGGGATAGATAAAAATAAAATAAATGGAAATGTTTATTTCCATAAGAATGAGCATGAATGGGACATGAAAGTGGTAGTAGACAGGTAGAGGAGGGATGTTAACTTACCTCTAGATGTGTGCGCCTTTAGGATTTGCAACATAAGGCACCAGAGTCAATGCAAGTTTAGTATTTGTAAGATACCTGAGGCTGTGGTAGTTACAGGCAAACTTAAAATATAGTCTGCAAGAAAATTAATGCACTATTGCACTGATTGGCGTCTTGCAGGTGGTGACAGTGGATTGGATGGGTTAGGAGGACCAGGAGTTCAGCTTGGAAGCCCTGATAAGAAAAAGCGCAAAGCAAATACACAGGTAAATTCCCTTTGCTTCTTTTGAATTCTTAATAAACAGTGCACTCAGATGTTGTTTGCTGGTATGACTGTCTCTCATTGTTCAGAATATCAGTTTGTTGTCACAAATAGCAGCTACATACGAAATATTTCAGTTTTACTTTGAAGCTGAAATCTTCCTAAATACTAGTTACTTGCGCTGAAGTTATTTTAATCCCTGTAAGTTGCCAAAGACATATAAAGAGAGGAGCACAGTGAGGCTGCAACAACTTGTATTTTTACCATAGGGATTTGATTCTGAGACAGACTTTTTTTAATGACTTGTAACCATTGGTAGAAATCTGTACAGCATGAGTAGTTGCCATGAGACTACTTCTCTTCTTACTTCCATTCCTCTGTGTGTAGGCTTGTGGGCTAATGAATCAGTACAGTTTGTTAATGCTTTGACCAAACTCTTGGCATACTCTGCAGGTGATTTTCAAGCAAAAGCTAAGGCAGGTACAGCTCCTTTCCAGTGAATCCTTGCAAGGTGACATGTCTATGCAGTTTTTCTTTCCAGAAAAGAAAGCCTCAATACAAAATATCTTAAGCAATTGGATATCTATAATGCCAAGTTTTCCTTTGTGTTTTCATTCAGCTCTGAGTGAGAGTGTTAATTTGGTACTGCCCAGTGGGAATACTTTTATTTATGTAGGTAAAATAATCACTTTCTCCTAGGCTTATATAGAGTCCATTGAAATGTGGATCTGTTTTCTTCATTTTTGTTTTGTTTTAAAGTAGTTATGCTGAAACCTGCTCTGAGAAATATTCAGTTACTTTACAAGGTTTCACAGCTCTTTCTTGGTGGAGTTTGCTTGTGTTCTGGTGCAGTAGTAACTCTAGAGGACATGCAGATCAGCTTATGTTCCTTCTGACCAGGTTAAAATTTGCACTGCAGCAATTTTTAATATATTTTAAAAATAATTTTCAGTCTTAGTTTATTAGTACTTAGGAGGAAGTGCTTTCTGTGAGTACAGTTAGTGTGAGGGTGAACCCAGTAGATGTTCCCTACCGGCTAGTCTAGAATGAATTTCAATTGTATGATTGCACTGGTGACATTTAAACACTCTGGGCTCCATTAAACACTTGATTATGTTCTGTAACCAGAGCATAATCCTCGTGTTTCGTACCTACTGACTGTGCTGTGCAGACTGTCCACAATCACTGAATGCTCTGTTTGCTATAGAAATGTACAGCACAGAATATTCCACAGACTACAGAAAATACCAGTCTGCTGACTCCTATATTCTAAATGCCTTTTTTAGCATTTTAGTACCCTTATATATATTCTCATAGAAGTGGGGTGTCTTAAGAATTATATATTCAGTAACATGAACTCAAAATGAAATTAAGGAAATGCTTCAAATCTGCTCTTCAGCATTTGGAAATACTTTGTGTATGTGACAGTTGGATTTCTGTATTGTTGCTTGTCTTTTGTAAAAGATTATGAAATAGAAGTCGCATATCAAGTAGTATTTTCAACTTTTAAAACACTGAGACTACTATAAATCACCACATTATCTGGAGCCCAACTTCCTCTCCTGCCTCTGTACTGAAATTTCAGACAGCCTGGCAGGGTACAGTGGTTGAATTTTACACAACAGCTGAACAGTTCTTTCAGCAATTGCATTGCTAATCCAGAACCTTTGTGGTTGGTCTGTCTTGCAGGGAAATACTAAAACTAATTAAAGTGTTCTATTTAAAATATTTGTAGGGGTCGTCATTTCCTCCTCCATCTGAATATGCTCCACCACCGAACCCAAGCTCTGACCACCTTGTAGCTGCAAATCCATTTGATGACAACTATAATACTGTGTCTTATAAACCACTTCCTCCAGGAAATCCATATTTTAGTAATCCTGGTTATCCTGGCTTTGGAGGCTACAACACTTTCAGAATGCCACCTCACATGCTGCCCAGAGTGTCCTCACCCTACGGTGGTTCTTACTCCCTCAGAAACCAACCACATCCTCTTCCTCAAAACCCTGTTGGCATGGGTTTTAGTCGACCCCACTCTTTCAGCTTTGGTCCGCATGATAACCCAGGTTTTGGGACTCAGCCACCTTATAGCAGTGGTCAGATAAATCAGAATGTCAATATGCCTGCTCAGCATTTCAGGCCAAATCCTGGGGAGAACTTCGGCCATTCTGGTCAGATACCTCACCCTGATATGCCAACTAACTTTGGTCCTGGAAACAATCCAAATTTTCCAAATTCTCAGCTAGAGTCAAACCATTCTTTTGTTCCTCCACCAAACACATACAACCAGACAAAATCGTCAGCACAAAAGCAAGACTTCAGTCAAGGTACAAGCAAAGCATCCAGCCAGAACACTGCTGCTCATCAGCATCATCACAGGACAGAGGATGTTGTGAGTCAAGGTAACAATGACCTGAAAAGTGTTACTCGAAACAATGTGGTAAATCAGGATAACAGCCATTCTAACAGTGCTGATAACACCAATGCTGGCCACTCAAACGGGACTCAGAGCAAATCCCGCCAGCCTCGAGGTACTGCTGAAGGATGCAACTCTGAGAAGAGCAGCAAAACACCCCTGCATCCCAGTCGTCATGGACACTCGTCCTCTGAACCTGTCTACCCGTGTGGAATTTGTACACATGAAGTCAACGATGACCAGGATGCCATCCTGTGTGAAGCCTCTTGTCAAAAATGGTTCCATCGGATCTGTACAGGCATGACCGAGTCAGCCTATGGCCTTCTCACGGCAGAGGCATCGGCGGTGTGGGGCTGTGACACTTGCATGGCTGACAAGGATGTGCAGTTAATGCGCACGAGAGACACTGCAGGACCACCTGCACTGAACACAGAAGGCTGACAGCCTGAATGCGTGCTCGCGGAGCAAATACTTGCTATGAAAATTCGGTTCCAAATTGGGTACTTCACTTTCTGCAGACAATCAGTTGTGTTTGATTGATGTCATCTTTTTTTCCCTAATCTGTTTTCATTCATAAACTTCCATCTCAGCTTTTGTACTCTTAGTTCTATGTGTGCAAATGTTTTACAGGATGGAATATTTTTTGTTTCTGATTAAACTGCAACTGGCAATTGATCGGAAGTAGGATGAGCATTGACAATATTAGTGAAGGAAAAAATGTGCCTGTATGAATAGCCCTAATTTGCTAGTGTGTATTAATGTGTTAACTAACACTAGCATTTAGTGCTTGGTTTTAATGGTACTATATTTGCAAGTACTCATTACTTTGTTTTTTTCTTTTGGCATGAATGTCTGTTATTGATGTTCTTGCTAGCCTTTCTTTGAATATAGTAGAGATGATATGGAGGAATGTGCAGTACTAATAGTTGTTATTTTAGGGTAAATACAGAGAATTTTGTATGTGCTTTTTCCTATTTTTGAAGTCAAGCATTAATGTGCTATTCAAAATCATGAATTCATGCTTAGTAACACAATGAAACCCACTAACTATTACACGTTTCTGTTTCCTTGAAAAGGCAATAATCTCTTGACTTCTCAGCAATTACTTGCTGAAGGCTCTTGCTAGGTCTTGCATTATTTGGAAATTGTTGTGAAATAGGATTAAATTGGAAAAAGAACACATCGAGTTTATGAAGTCCACTGCTTTAAATCTAGAGAATGCCAAAACTAGGGTTGCACATGTAACCTTAATTCATTTATCTTGAGGACATACCTTGGGATACAGTCTTTGCATCTTGTCATGGTTGTGCAGTCATGCACTTCTCTCTCATTCTTTCTCACTGATGGTTCCAGTCTCCTGCCTCAGTGCTGCCTGAGAATTGTGGATGAAGCAGTGCACGGAAAATCCTGCCCAGCTTCTGGGGCTGTCAGCTCCAGCCTGCTCAGTCACCCTGAATTTACACAGTGCACTTGGCATGAAGGAAGGGGTAAGGCAATGGAGTGTGCTCTGCACAGGCTCCGAATTGCATGATCATTTGGCTAGCAAAGTCTTTAAACCAAATTCCCACCACTGCCTGAGCCAGTTTTGCAGTGAGAAGGTGGGAAATCTAAGGTGAAGAAAGAAAATACAGCTGTCATATCAGGTGAGTTTAGATCACATCAGAACTAAGTAGTCAGAAGTTTAGCTCCTTTGCTAAACCTGATATCCTACTGACAAGTATGAATGGCACTAGAGCTTCATGTGTAATGCTAAGAAATTAAATTTTAATAAGGGTAATTTGATCTTATTCTTGATCTCAAAAATAACCTTCTTTTTTGAATGTTGGGAATCTAGCCTTGAATAGTTCAGCCTTAGCAGTGTGATGAAGTTGCATGTGTGACTGAAAAAGTTTCTTTTGAGAGAATATAGTTTTGAATTAATAAAAGGAGGCATGTGATAACAGATTCTGCTTGGAATATGTACCACTGTGCTGGAAACAATCTTTAAATAGCAATTAAATCATATGTCAAGCTTACAGGTACTAGTCATGTTCCTTAATGTGATAAATTTTGCAGGTCTGTGATGATGAGGGATATAGGAGTTTGTAGAGAATACAGTCACCTAATAAAGAGGTAGTTTTTATGGTAAGCCGTGCAAATGAGTGAAAGTAAGGCCTGTTTGATAGTTCACCATCGTGTTTGATTTCAATTGGGCTCCACTGTGTACACTGCTGGAAGATACTGTGCAGATCTAAACAACTTGTTTTATTTTAAAAGTGAAAAGTTTTGCTGTAAAAGTGCAGGAGTTTTTGGGTTTTTTTGGCTTTCCTGTCATCAGGAAAAAGAAAATAATATCTAAAGTGTAAGTGACATATTTCATATCTTGAGAATTTTCCTGTGTAGAGATGTAAAGTGTAAGATAGATCCAGAGCTTCTGTGTTCAGCACTAGTTGCTTTAATTTAGTACATTAAGTAGACTTAATCTTGTTTTGTTAGAGGTGTGATTTTAAAACCCCCAACAAAATCCAAACAAGCAACAGCCTCTGTTAGAGAGATTTATTCTTCAGTAGTTTTCCTAATGACTGACAGACTTTGAATTTGCTTTTGGTACCTGAAGTAGCAATTAAACCAAACCTTGTTTAGGTAGATTTGTTCCTCTGGGAATCAGTTTAATCTCTGCAACAATTACCACTGTGAACATAATGGAGCTGGTTCACACCTACTGTAATGTAAATGAAATGAAAATTTTGCTCAGTGTAAATTCAACCAAAGCTCCAGTGATGATATTGTTATCTTTCCCACTCCCACACCCCATGCCTCTTGTGAGAAGATTTTGGGGCATTTATTCTCCGAAGTCCAATTAGTGTTTTAACATTTTGGAGCAGACATTGTATTTAAATTAGCCATCTATTTCTTAATCTTTTCCTCAACCCAACATGAAGTTAGGCAACTATTTTCTAGATTAGCTGTTGGGACATTAGTATTTAAATATAGTGTTCTTAAATACTTAAAATCAACTGGAATATCATTTTATAAGGCCTTAAATTGTGTATTTGTGAAACTTATTCTAACAATTTGTTTTAGGTTTTTCTAAACTGGTATTGGGTTTGTAACCCAGTAAATTTTCTGCATTTATTATCCTGTAAGTTCAAGGCATTAGCAAATGTCAATGATATAAAATAAAAACAAATGAACAACCAACCCCACACTTGTTAGCACACTGATCCTAGAGATAGGACTGACAAGGATCTCCAGAAGTCATGCAGCCAATATGCTTGCCCTAGTGATATGCTCTTGGCATACTTGAACTCTTTATCTAGAGAGCAGTTATATTTTGGTTTTCTCTGCATGTGATGACTAAGTAGTAGTTCAAGTATGCACAGGAAAAACAGCAATCATGTTTAATTAGTAAGGTACTAGGAAAATGTCAGCTGATTAGCATTAGAAGTTAGTTCTAGAATGATAGGTGGGAGGGAGGGGGGGGAGGGCTGACTAGAATAGGTGAGGTTTTTTTGTAATACATTAAACAATTTGTATTGAACTCTCATGTGCTTCTTTCATTACTGGTGATTTAGACTGTACTGGTGCTGCACACCAAAAATATTGCAAAGATTTTGTAAATCTTGCAAACCTTAATATTTTTATGGGAAATGCCTGTGTCCTTTTTAAGTAGTTTCTGGTCATGATCAGAAATGCAGCCTTATATTGCTCCCAAATTTCCCCCCCCCCAGGCTGAAATAAACAGGTATAAATTGGATTGTGCTGTCCTTAATATTTTTTGCTAGTTACCAATTTTAAATGAGAAAATATGTAAGTGACAGTGCTGGATACAGACTAGAGGGCAGGTAGCAAAAATCCTGTTTCTTCCTGTTTTACTCATTCCTTCTACAACTTGAAACTAGCAGGTTAACTGTGCCTGTCTCTTCTGAAAGAAGATGGGACTGATGCTTACTTCCAAAGGTTGTTTAGAGGCCGAGTTATTATTTGACATCTTCAGATGTAAGAAGCTAGAGAAAAGTAATGAAGTTCGCTCTACTTAAAAATATAATTTTGGGGGCTGCTCCAAGAGGATTATACTTTGTGACCTCTGAGGTTTTTAATCTAAGAACCAGTTTTTTAATCACATTTTCCAGGCTTAATTGCAAGCATGTGAGAATTAATGAAGTCAGTGAAACTGCATGCACACAGTCAAGAATGTTTTAAAGTGTTTGCAGTTTGGGGCCTGTGATATTTGCAAGTGAAATGCTTTTATGGTTTGAGATTTTTACAAAATCAGTGGTGTTAAAATGTAGCACCTTTTTAGCATTTGTCTTTATTCCAACTTAATACACTAACACATCTGCATTAAATATATCCCTTTCATTTTATAAATAAACATTGCCTGTCAGTACAAGTATTGGTGTAACATTTTTAAAAAAGGAAGTCATGCTTCTTATCATGTTGTATGTGACTTAAATGACTGTTTCATATTAAAACTAATCTTTCCTTATGTACTGCTTAAATATACCTGTTTTGGGATATCAGTTCAGTACTTTTTATACAATCTTGAATGTGTTCCACATTGGTGACATGTATTTTTGCAACAACTTTTTGTTTTGATTTTAAATTAGAGCATGTCTGATGTAATACATGCATTAGTGCTGTGGTGTGTGACAAAGTTAATGTATGTAATTCAAATTGGAAAAGTTTCCAGACTTTGTCCAACATTAACCCTGTGGCCAGGGATTAAATTACTATGTAATACAAATTATTTCATACCATGATGTGTTTTAAGCTACTCTATGAAGTATGTGAAACATTATTGTTTATGGATTGGTAGCTGGTGAGGTATCTTGCATAGAATGAGGTATGATAGATGGTAGCAATTAATGATAATTAAAACTGAGTACCTTTCAGAACACACAGCACTGATATGCATTATCATCCTGTTGCCATTACTTAATATGAATTTCTTAATATTATCCACTGGTAAATGGGTGAACATTTGGTAATCAGCTTTTGGGTGTGAAAATTCTAACACTCTTTACTTGTTTTACAAAGCATATAATTTTTTGTATGTTTTTTTAAGAGGCATATAATTTTTTTGTCTATTGGATGTGATTAGATATATGCAGGAGGATGTAGCACTGGATGTATTTTAAAGTTATTCTGCAGTTGCTAAGTTTTGGCAGAAGCTTTCTATATTAGAATAGACTCTTCCCTAAAATTGGAAACTAAGTGTACTTAGCAGAACTCTTTAAGGCAATATAACTATCCTACACTACATCTTGAGTTATGCACATTCACTTGTTTAAGTGGAAGTGATAACTTCTGCTTTATATAGAAGAAAAGAAAGGTCCCTTTAGTGGCCTAGTGCTGTGTGTCATCAGTTCTGGGGTAATTAGTTCTGAGTTATATTCAGGCCCTCAGAGGTGCTGCCTCTAGCTTGAAGTTTTCAGTGTCACCCTTTGTTTCCTGGTGTAGAAATGGCTTATGCCAGCACCATAGGGAAAAACTATTTCTGTGTTGTTTACCATAAATAATTTTCCTTTTCATGTTCAAAGAAACTGTCTCAACTTTTTGATCCAACCCCAGCTTTTTACTTGGAGACTTGTGTGCTGTATTTCAGGAATTGTTATACTGGAGACATTTTGGGATTGGAGTTATCAGAGTTGTCTGTTCCTAGACACTCTTCTTTTTCTCTACAGAATGGTCTAAATCTGAACTTCTATATAACTTAAGGAGGGCAAGCTCTTAATATATTATTTTTTCTTTTTGTTTTTCTTTCTTGATAGTTTGTTTTTCTGATATGTGAAATCATATGAAGTTGTTAGGGATTTTTATTTAAGATGTGGTCTTTCCTCCAAGCTTGTGTTTGTGGCCGTTACAGCCTTCTGACTTGGAATTTTTTGTTCACATTCTCCTTTTAGAGTTAAAAGTGAGTAGAAAAAGGCAAGTTACCAATCTACTGCCATCCAAACAATGCAAAATATAAGATGATTAAGATTGTTGACATTTAATTTTTTTTTTGTTAATAATGATGTGATATTTTTACCTTTTAGAAGAACATATATCAGAATCTGATTCAAGTGTTCTTGGAAAAATCTATATGGTAGACTTTGTCCAGCACTGTATGTAACTTTATTGCTTTCTGTTGTCTGGTTTCAATTTCTTTTAAAATAAAGATAATTTTTGTGGGGAAGTTGTCTGTTGACTTTCTGAAGATGATATAATGCCTAGATGGGCTCTTCTAATGTTCTGCCTGTGAGAATGCATTTGGATTAGGTGTAATCCTGCAAGAAGCAGCGTGGTCATATGGATCAGAAAATACAGCTCCTGCCTCTCTTGGAGAGCTCCACTGTTCTTTAAAGGTGTTAATATGCAGTAACTTCAAAGCAGATCACAAAAGGTTTTGTGCCTTCAGCCCCATTTCTTTCCTCACAGGATGGGAGGGGAGGCTCAAGCACCATTTGTCCAAATAGCTTTTTTAAAATAACTTTCTGCACTTAGAAAGTGATTATACAAAGAATTATTTATTCCAGTTTATAAAATTATTAATAAGCTCTTCCTGTTAGTTAAAATGCCAGAACTAACATATACCAAATCACTGCGTTACAGCAAACAGTTTAATGCAAAACAGCTTCTTGGAATAAACAGTCTTATAAAATGCTTCTGCTTTTTGTTAAAAATATGGAGGGATGAGAGAGAATTTAGAAAGGATTGGAGAAAAAAAGGTTAATAATTAAAGGTAAGAAAATGTAAAGGGGTTATCTAAAGGATTTTTTTTTCTTCCATATATTAGAACTTCTGAAGCCATTAGAAGTGAAATAACCCCAGAAAATATATTATGTATAGGCATCTGGAAGGTCCAGAATATTAATAATATTATTAAGGTTTGTCTGGAACATAAATCTGCATCCTTCATAGCACAGGAGATGGGAATTTAGGAATCAGATTTTCAATGGAAAAGATGATCTTCCACTGCATGCTTTTCACTGCAGACTTTCGACTGATAAAGTTAGTGCCAGCAGAAGAACCGTGCTGCTTGGGCGTCTCTTGTTTATTTTGCAAGTGTCACAGCAGGAGCACAGCAGCTTGTCCAGGTAAGGCTGTGGAGTGGGTGGGACAGAGGTGGTGGTTCTGCACATACACATCAATTCAAAACTTTTAAGGTTGATCCAAGACCTTGCTGAATCCCTTTTGTGTCTTTTAGCAGCTAAATCTGCTACTTTGACATAAAAACATGTTAGTGATATTTATTATTATAGTTATTATTTACTATATTTGTATATTACTATAGTATATACTTACTATAATACTTACTATTATTGTGTCTCCTACAAGCTTTGCATTGCAGATCTAGGTTTTAAGTAAATAGACATTTTGGTTGATGTATTGGAGCTCTTTTGTGCAATTTGAGAAGACCAAATACTGGCAACCATAACTCTCTTGTAAAGCATGTATGCATAATATAGTTCTTCTAACAGGGATAAATAATAAGCTGCTTCATTTCAGCATATTCTCTGTGATTAAACTAAAATGACACCTGGGTGACCAAGGCAGAAGACCTGCACTCCAAACCTCTGACTTACTGTCCGTGAATGAGCTCCCTGTAACTGAAGGATGCTTTCTGGATGACTACAGCTGGAGTGGTAGGAGATTTTGAGTTACTACATTATAATCATTCTAGCTGCTGCTATGTACTTTGAGTGTTCTTGGATTCTAGTCCATGCAAGGACTCTTCAAGACGATATTGATGTGAGTGAGGAGAATAACCCAGAAATCATGTGTGTTATGATGGATTTCTTGCTCTCAAAAGGTTTCAAATCTCTGCGATACCTATTTTCATATATGTACAGTACTTAAAAGTAACCTCTACTATTTGAATATTGCTATTACCTATAATAGAACATATTAAAATTAAATCTTCAGTGATACACATTAGAAATACTAGCTGATGTGAGCCACGTTAAACTCCATTATTCTTAGTCTCATTTTAAAAGCAAGAGGGAAAACTAGACTTTTTGTTTCTGGATTTTTCCTAATAGTTCTAGGTAATGGTATACTTTTGAGGAACTTAAACATACCTGAATTTTTATCCAGCTGTGTTTGGCACATCTTTCAGGCCATATTCTCCAGAAGCCGTTGCTTTTAATATGCTAGACTTTATTTTGGCAGATACGGTGTTACAGTTTGTTTGAGAAACGTGGAGTGGTAATGTGCAAATTACCTCCTGAGCTTTTGGCAGAGACAGTACAGCAGACAATATTGCTCAGCAATAGCATGGAGCTGCCTGTATGACCCTGTTATTTTTAGGGGACACATGGAAGTTTCAGTGCCAGCATTGCCCGAGTAGGTCAAGGAAGGTGACCCTGTCCTCTGCTGAGAGAGGTGAGACCACACTTAGAATATTGTGTGCCGTTCTGGGCTCCTCAGTAGAGGAGACACGGAGCTGCTGGAGCAGGTCCTGTACAGAGCTACCATCTGATTCAAAGGTGTGGAGAATCTCTCCTGCAAGGACAGGCTAAGGGAGCTGGGCCTGTTGAGCCTCAAGAAGAGGTGACTGGGAGGGGACCTCGGCAATGTGCATGAATGTCTGAAGGGAGGTGCCAGAGGATGGAGCCACGCTCTTCTCTGTGGTTCTGAGCAATAGAACAAGAGACAACAGGCAGAAATGGATGCTCAGGAAGTTCTACTTGAACTGAGGAAGAACTTCTGTGTGGTTCAGGCTGCCCAGAGAGGCTGTGGAGTCTTCCTCACTGGAGATATTCCAGAACCATCTGGACACAATCCTATGCTATGTGCTCTGGAACGACCGTATTTGAACAGGGAGGCTGGACTGTGGTTCCTTACAACCTGACCCATTCTGTGGTTCTGTGTATCAGTCAAATCCATCCTTGGCTTTTGATATTTTTTTTTGTCAGAAATTCTGCACTACCAGCAGTTTATCTCTAGAAATGCATGTGGATGATACGAGCTGCGTTCCTCCCTGCTGTGCTCAGCTGTGAGCGCTGGCAGCCAGAGCCGTGCCCGCGGCCCTCAGGCCCCTCGGGACTACAACTCCCGGCGTGCCCCGCGGGGCGGGGAGGGGCCGGGAGCGGCCCGGGAGCTGCTCCGGGCGCGGCCATGCCGGTGTGGCTGCGGGAGCACAGCTGGCGCCAGACGCTCACCGCCGTGTTCCTCTCGCTGCCCTTGCGCGGCGCCCGGGCCACCCCCAGCAGCATCTTCTGCAGCGAGCAGTACCTGAAGGTGGGCGGCGCGGCCCGCTCGCCTCACGGGGCTCCTGCCGCGCAGGGCCCGGCCCGGGGTTCCTGCGGAGCCCTGCTCAAAGGCACGCGTGCCGTGCACCATGGCAACCCTTCATGTTCATAGCCCTTTATCTTTTGTAGTCTCCCTGTGTGTGCTGCGGCTGATAATGGCTTTACCGCCGCTCGTTCCTTACTAATGCCGCTCAACAGGTGCCAGCTGCCTTTACTCTCAGAAATGGACTGAATTTATACGTTTGGTTATACTGCGAATAATAGTCCTGAATTTGAAATCCACGGTTTGTGTTGCAGTGCTGAAGAACCAACATTTTCAATCTCATCAATAAAAAAATATAACTTTGTGACGACCTACCCTTAACGGGAAGGAAGCACCTTCTCTGGACTTCTACAAACCACAGTGGATAAAAAGCAAATTAGTTCTATCAATAGTATCTGTTTCTTGAGTTTTACTGTATGCTTGTGCTAAGTGTTTTGAATATGTAAGAGTAAATTTAAAGTAGTAAATATTAGTGCAAATTATATTTTGTAGGTAAGCATCCCTCCCTTTTTATTTGAAGCCGTTTTATATGCTCCTATTGATGACACCAATAGCACGGCAAAGATTGGAAATGGAAACATTTTCTTCACTTTGTATAAAAAAGAACCGGCCATGTGGGATTCCCTAACTCTAGCAAACAGTAAGTGTTCTACTCTGGAAATCAGACTGTGTGTAAGGAAACCATACTGTGAAACTTCTGCTGGTAGATATCTGCTCAGTTCAACCTTGTTCATTATTAAAAATAGAAAGTATGTGAGAATAAATAACTAAAATCTACTGGTTCTAGAGTGTATGAAGCAGAACAATATTTCTTGTAAAACTTACATTCTGTGTTTAAGCAAATCTTAATTTTTCTCTTTTAGAGATGGGCTTGGCAGACACTGGTTTGTTGAATTGTAACCATGTTGTATTTTGCCAAAGTAACAGAAGAAATAATGTTTTCATTAACATGATATATACCAATAGAACACCAGGCCTAAATGACTAAAATAGTTTATTTTTTTTAAGCTGACAAGGAGAAACTACAACATCTGAGAGAGAATGCTGTTCTAAAAGCCCAAGAAAAGGCAAAAGAGGAGACAGAAGCAAGAAAAATTACAAAGCAGGAACACAAAAAATATGCTTTGGAGGCCACAATGAAGGTAGGTTTAGAAGGAACTCTGCAAGATATACATGTAAACAACGAGCAACTAATCTGGCAGCTGCTTTGTTAAATGTCCATTAAAAAGATGCTTTATTAAATGTACGTTAAAAAAAAATTACAAGTTCCAGTTTTTTATTATAATGTTGGTGAACCCTGTTATTTCTTTGCACTTAAAACATATTTATTACCAAATATGAAAATGTTACTGATGTATGTTGCTGCCATTTTCTGTGAGTAATACTAATGAAAGTTTTTGGTGAGAAGCTCAGGTTTTTGTCTGTTCAAAGGAGAGTACAGTCATCTGTCAAAACTGTAGTCTTTTGTGGCCTTTGCAGGTGTTTAGTCCTTTAGCACTGTGAACAATACTGATAAAAAAAATCTTACTTATTCTTTGTTGTATTTTATATCAGACTTGCTTTTTTTTTGTCTTTTGTGTGTTTGTATTTTTGTTATTCTGCTTTTTATGTATATTTTTAGATATGTTCTTAAAATTTTTATGTCTATAAAAAGTCTGGTCACTTCACTTACATTCAAAGGATTTTTTTTTTTTTTTGAGCATGCTATGAAATTTTTAGATTGCATATGCAGTATGGACCAAAAAAAGATACAGTTAGTGACTGTCTTAGTAGCAACATTGTACCTCTTCTAAATATGTAATAATCTCAAGAGGAGAAATAAGAAATAGTGTATTCGGATCATCACATACATTTTACATTTGTGTACTCTCCAGAGATTTACATTGGAACATGCCTAGATGAATGTCTCTGGATTGTACCTTAGAGTTGTTAGTAAAATCGTTTAGAGATGAGACTTCTAAAAGCTAATCAGAAATCTTTACTCTCACAGTAATTTTTAAGCATTTTAATTAACTCTGCTTGTGTGGTCGCATTATTGGTTACACTGTGCTTGGGATATGAAACTGGGACAATAATGGTAACTTTAATGGAGTCATGTCAGTATTATCAGATGTTATGTATCTCATAGGGATTTTTGTTCAAATAGCTAGAGGAAGCAGAAAGAAAAAGAATTGAAGATCTGAAAGAAAAGGAGAGGCAGAAGGTTGTTAAAGAGTTGGAGTTATGGAAAAACCAGCAAAAAGATGGTGATAAATACAAGAGCATACAAAAACCGGGGGAATTATATCAAGAAATAGAGCCATTAAAAGAGAGAAAAAATGAAAAAATGAAGAAAACTCAGATTCCTAATGAAGGAACTTCTAAGACCAGACTCAAATCCACAAAAGGTTGTATGATTGAACTGTACTTTATAATTCTTTAAAGTGTGGGTATAACTTTTTTCCAGATGTTTCTAATTCATCACTTTGTCTCTACCATACTGAACCAGTTCTTTTAAAATTGTTATTTTCAGGCATTTTATTGAGCTAAAGCACATGAGTTCTTAGCTTTTGTTGAAGTCCTTAGAAATACAAGGGTGGGTTTTGTTCTAAGCTTTAGAAAAGTAAATCAGAAAGCCTTGCAGTGTAATGCAGACTTCCTGAGGGTAGAGTTTCTGTTACCCAAAGTTACCTCTCTGCTGGATTCCATGGAAATCTTCAGCCTCCTTTTGCTCTCTCTGTCCTGTCCGTGGAGAGCCAATTCAGGGAACTAAACCAGCAGAAGACATTTCACTTTTTTGTTTGTTTGATTTGATAGGTTAGTTTCAGCTCATTGTTGCCCTGTCACAGCATCATACAAACAACAAAGAGAGAGGTGCAAGAGGAGTTTAAGTTCATTTGTGACAGATGCTGTATAGTTCCATTTATTTACTTGCTACATTAGGAAGAAAAATTGTTTGAACCTTCCCTTCAAAAGAACAAACTTTTCTCACATGATTAGAGGTTTAATTCTAATGTGCCTAATTGCTAAGTCAAGTGTACTTTGGACTTTGGTAGAAAACCAGAAAAATATTTTGCTTCATTTTCATTTCCAGTGCTCTAACTCTTTTCATAGGTTCCTGTAGTATATTTTCACAGAATTCAAAGGAAGAGCAGTTACCTGCTCCCAGAGCTGCTGCTACAATTCAAGTCAGCTTCACACCACGAGTTTTTCCCACAGCTCTGCGAGAATCTCGTGTTGCAGAAGAGGAGGAGGTAAGGTGGGGAATTAGTTATTGTGTATTCAGTCAATACAAGAGTAGTGTCTGTGCCAAGGAATGTCATCTGTGCAATTTATCCTCCAAGGAAGACAGTCTTATTTAAATCAAGATATAAAGAAACAATTTTATATAAAAATTATTTTCACCATGTGGTTGTGCAGATTAATAAATAACATATTCCTCTTTTGCGAGGGGGAGAAAAGGCAGCAATATTAATTTAATTCCTTGAAGTACAAAATTTAAAGTCTCCTAACTCTTATATTTAAGATTCTTTCAGTTCTGTCTTAAAAGAAGCTCACAGCTCTTTTGAGCTCGATTCAATGAACACAAAGTAATTTTGAAAGATCAAAACAGACAAGTAAACAAAAATGTATTAGGGATGTGGTAACCTGACTTTTCATGGTAATAAAATATTTGGGGAAACTTTGAAGTTTTTCATATTGGGCACAAATATTTTCCTCTGTCTGAAATATATGGCCAATAGAATTCTTTTGGTAAGTATGAGTGAAGAGATGAAAATAAAATCCTTTCTTGGATTTGAATTTTTGCTTCAGAAATAATACTCACATATTTTGTATTTACAGTGGCTACATAAACAAGCAGAAGCTCGAAGAATAATAAATTCTGATTTATCTGAGCTGGAAGATTTAAAAGAAGAGGAGAAGAATCCAGATTGGTTAAAGGACAAAGGAAAGTAAGTTACATCCACTTGAAGATGTATTAAAAAATTAATTAGTTTTATGGTGTTTGTCTACTGTTCAGTTTTGGTATATTATATTTATTCTAGAAAGAGTTGGTGAATGTCTAGAGTAGTCATGGTAGTTGTACCAGAGATTTTAGTGACAGCTTCTGTGATTAAAATCTGATAAGTCATGAGATGCATTTGTTGAAGCTCATGATGAACAAAATCATTGCAAACACGTTATGCATATTCTTCTTTGAAGAAAGTCGAGGCAGTGCACTATTATACCTAAGTGGATTTAATTTAATTTAATTTGTCCTTTTTTAGTGAGAGGTTAAACATCTGTGTAAAATAAACTGTGTAACTTGATACAAATATTGGTCTATTTATTTGATTAGGCAATCATAATCAGATATACAAAGCTTTCAGAATTAGTCCTGTGTCTACATAAATGTGTTCACTCTTATAATTCTTCGTTACTTGTAGGCAGTGACTATTTTTGTTGTGTATCTCTAAGCTATATTGTCAGCATCAAGGTGCACTGAACTTCAGCTGTGTTGTTCTCAGAAAAGGCTATAAAGGGGCATTTCAAAGGAAAAGATGCTAAAACCTCAAATTTTTAAAATAAGTTAACAATTAGTAGATGTTTGTTTTGTATTTCTTCTTTAAAGTGCATGTTTCATTTTTTGTTTACTCCTTAGCAAAATGTTTGCAATGGGAGACTACCTTGGGGCAGTAAATGCATATAACCTTGCAGTGAGGCTGAACAATTCACTTCCTGTGCTGTACCTGAACCGTGCTGCTTGCCACCTTAAACTGCGAAATCTGCACAAAGCTATCGAAGATTCCTCGAAGGTACAAAAATCCAGGGGCTCTGGCTGTCATCTTATGCATTAATGTGATTTGTTACTGTGATGGTTCTGTTTTAAGCAGATCTGTAAATACATATTAGTACAATCCAAAGTTTTAAAATTCAAAATTGATATAATGAAGCCATGGTGAAATACTAAAATTCAATAGTGATTAATGAACTTTTAGAAATTTAAAACCAAGCAACAATAAAATAAACTCTAAACAAAGCTTCCACTTATTTGTGACAAATGGCCATATGTTGGCCAGTGTGTTTCTTTACAGGTAAAAATATTGTAGCAATATGTACAATATGTATGTTTGAAAAAACCCACGACTTGGAGCAGAGAAAAACAAAACCAAAGTATACTCATAGGTTTTCTATTATGTTGTGGTGTGCTTCATTTGGTTGGAAGGAAAAAAAAAAAGTGGTAGTGATGAGCAGGATACCTTAAAATACGTCCAACAAACCAAACATTTTTAAAGAAGGGATGTATTGTCCTGATGTCTGAGCAGCTGTTTTATTTGTGCAAGAAGAGGAATGATCTCAAATGGCACCTGAATAGTGTGGCAAGTTTTCCAAGAATTATTATTTTTTGAACTAATAAGTACTTGAGTCTTGACACTTGGGGGTTTTTGGTCTCGTTTTTTGGTTTTTTTTCCTGGTAACTACTACTAAAACACATGTGCTTTTTTAGTGCCACTTTTTCTTTTGATAGCATGATGGGTTATATGATGTATGAAAACAGAGCATATTATTTGACTGCAATAAGCATTTTACATGGTATTTGTCACGTTTTAGCCATGGCAATGTAACTGTAGTTGGCAAACTGGGGTGTTGGATACAAACCTTAATGACTAGATTCACAAGCCGTTTATAGTTAAATTTGAATAGCTATTTTCTATTTCTGTTTGAATAGTTATTATGTCACCGTATAATAATAGTAATTAGGTGAGAGAAGTGTTTGTAAATCAGAAAAAAACCCTCAAATTATGGAAAATCTACTTATAAATACTTTGGGTGTTGTCATTTGTAAAGGCACTGGAACTGTTGACGCCGCCTGTTCCTGATAATGAGAACGCTCGAGTGAAAGCCCATGTGAGACGTGGAACAGCGTTTTGTCAGCTGGAATTATACACTGAAGGTGAGGCCTTGCTTTTATGAAAACATGCACAGCAATTTGTAGTGACATGCAAGTAACTCTGGCTCCGTGAGGCTGCTCACACCTTTATGTTTTCAGGAGTGACTTCGGAGGAGGTCTATACAATCTATATCTATTTGTTATGAACATTTATACCACTTTATTTTTTTTAGTTTAGCAGATACTTGTAAAATCTTTACAAGTTTGAGAAAATGGATTGCATTCCTAATTTAAGGAGTTTTTCCATTGAAGATGTAATGTGAAATATTTCTAAAATACTTGTGAAGTGCTTTGTAAAATGAGGTAGGAAACTCATATTGATGAGTAAAATGATTCATCAAGTACATGTGGTTTGTGTGAAAATGCCTGAATTTACAATGTCCCTATTCAGTTCCTCAAGAGTGTCAAATTAGTTTTGTAAAGCAAATTTACAAGTGAAACCTGATACAGGAAATTGAAGAATATTCAAAATGCCAATGCTGAAATACTAAACTTTGGCCATTGTTTACCTTTTTCTACTTGGGCATCACTTGGTTATTCCCTTACAGCTTCATTTGCACTTTGAAACCTTATAAAAAAGACTAATGTAGGCTAGATTTTACTTCCTGTACTTATAATTGGTTTTTCCCACAAGCTCTAGTTTTCATAGTTCATGTCTCTTTTTGTCCTTATTTTCAGACAGGATCATTTCCTCTTCTGCAGAACACTTCAGAACAGTCCCCTCATGCACACACACAAGTATATGTGTGTATGTAGGTGAATGAAGAGGCTCTATTTTCATGTTTCAAAACCTGAAGGTGTTTATGTCGTAGTGTTTCCACTAAAATGTTTTGTATAGTAAGATAAGCAAAAAGTAAGTTTATTTACTGATGGAAGCGAAACTAATGTCATTCTGATGTCATCTCACTTAAGGACAAACCTCAAGATCAATACTTTATGCATATGACTGGGGAGTAGCTATTTCCAGTCAGTTGCTGAAGAGGATGCTCTTGCATTATTGACTGATATTCTTATTAATGTGCCTATATTAGGTCTTCAGGATTATGAAGCAGCTCTCAAGATTGATCCTAGAAATAAAAATATAGAAGAAGATGCTGAGAAGATTCGACATCTAATTCAAGGAACAATGCAAAGTTCTTAATTAAAAAATATATAAAAAAAGAAACTCTTTGATGCCTTTGAGAACATCAGAAGGAATCTTATTTCTCTTCAGTGCGTGTTACCTAGACATTTTTCTGCTTCACTCGGAACAATTACAAAATTGGTAAAAGATTGGATGTATTATTGGAAAGTAAAATATTATAAACATTATTAGATATATTTTAAATATGTCATATTGTCAAAGTTGTAATATTTTTGCTTTTTGTTAACATTCTGTATTACTCTGACAATCTGAAACCCTGGACTTGAGGCAGTTCCTTTTAGTTAAGTGCTCTTTCCAAACTGGGACCATTTCAACTGCATTTCTTTCAGTAGCAGTTTTAGCAGACTTCTGAATTTTCTTCATCAGTCCCTTTCCTGAATACCATTTATGACTGATTGCTGTCTTTGTAATAAAGTATTTATTAGGCAGATATATATTATTGAGTGCAAATTTTATAGCGTTGTATCCGGGAGAAGGTGGCAGGCATTGTTTCCAGCTATTTTACACAGAGCCTTGAGAGGAGTGCTGAGGTGAGTCAGAAATGTCTGGGATAGCTGCTGCCCCTGCTTTCCCACAGAGAACTGCTGCATTCCACTGGAAGGGGCTGAAAATACTTTTTTTTTATTTTTAAAATGTTTATTACTGGAAGGAGGGCAGTGCAGCAGTTTGAGTGGCTCTATTGAGTGTAATGCTTTACTTACAGATACTGCTTTTTTCTTTTTATGATTACTATTGGGAAATGAGGGCTAAGGAGGAGAGACTGGCAATGGGAGAGACATTTTATTCAACCCATCTTACTCAGCCTTTCAACTAACAGGGCAAAACATTTCAAATTTGTTAACTCTTTGTGGTCAGAGCAACGATTGCTCAAGATGTGTATTGAAATACATGCATGGTGGAGAGTGAGGAACTTAATACTTTGACCTTATTTAGTAAACTGTGGACAGTGGTAATTTGACTCAATGACTGTGGAAGACAGCAAAATTCAAGATTTATGTCAATTTCTGCATTAGTGATAATCTTGAGATAGAAAATATCTTAATATGTACAGCAGAAATAGTATGGATAATGAAAATATGAATGAGAGTAAGAATAGCGTGAAACTATGAGTGATTTGATTGGGTCTAGCCTTTTTTTCTAAGATACAGGAATATGAAAAATAGAGCTCTAGAGAAATGTACAGGTGACTGTGCTTCCTCACTCATGTTCACATGCATGTGTTTTTATTTTTTTCCTCTGTAAGGGAGTGAGTTATCATATGACAAATACTTCTTGGACTGTTTATGGAAAGTGTTCTAGTGCTGTATTGATGAGCCTGCTGTAAAACTTCTCTGGGTAAGGTACCTCCCTTATGCTGCTGAGCAAGCCAGTTATAACCTGCTGCTTTTCAGAGGTGCAGTGAAAGCTTTTTTCTTTGTTTCTGAGTAATGTAAGACATGAAGCTGACACATAAGTTGCTATCTGAGATAAAACTTGAGTAAGACATTAATAATGAGGCCTGTTGTTGTCATTTCCCATTTATTTTTTGTTCCAGTACCAGAGCAGTGTTGGGGTCTAAACCTATGGGATTTTGGATCTGTTTGTACAGTGCCTGTTGATGAGAGTGGTCTAGGAGCATGGGTGGGAGTTAGGAACTGTGTTATCCCCTAGTGGCTCTTGGGGCAGTTTCTCCTGAAGCAGCAGGGCTTGTGCTTTGAGGGGATTATCCAAATTAATTAATTCCCAGTCATGAGAGTTTTTGCACCTGAGGCTAGGAGAATAAAAGATTTGTTGTCCGTATATAGCACCTTTTTTTTGTTGTTGTTTTGTTTCTAGTTTTGGGGCGAGCATGTTCTGGGGTGTTCTTTGGTGGGGCTTTTTGTTTGTTTGGTTGGCGGCTTTTTGTTTTTTTCCTTTCCCTTAGCACAAGCGCTACTGGCATGTAAGGGAGCGCGTCTCCTCAGAGCTGGCTGTCCCCGTGCCCGGCTCTCCCGCGATCACACGGGCACAACGCTCCCCGCGCTGCAGAGGCCTCCGAGCCGCCTCCGCCCGGCACGAACGGCGCCCGGGCCGCAGGGGCGGCGTTGCCATGGCGGTGCCGGTGGCGGTGCCCGTGGCGGTGCCCGCGGCGGTGCCCGGGCCGCTCTGGGCGCTGTGGCCGCCGGGCCGCGGCGGGGCGCGGGCTGCGCTCGCCAGGGTGCTGCGGGCGCCGCCCCGCGCGCAGGCGCCGGCCCGGGCGGGCCGGGTTGTTTGTGACGGCGTCACCGGCGGCTGCGGCCGCGGCCCCTCGTCCGTGCCGGGCCCCGCGAGGGCCGCGCTCAGGTAAGCGGCGGGAGCGGCCCGCAGGGGCCGCCCGGAGCGGGGCAGAGCCCGGGGCGCCGGGGCCGGGCGGCCGTGCCCGGTGCAGTGAGCGGGTGAGCGGGGCCGTGCGGGGCGGCGGCGCTCGGGGTCCAGCGGGCTCCGGGCGGGGGTCACCGCCGTGCCGGCCCCGGCCCCGGGGGCTGGCGTTTGCCAACTTCCTTCTCTGTCATCGTCTGCCGCTGCCTCGCCGGCTGATGCAAGGTGCCGTGTTTCATAAACAGCGTCCTGGCGCTTTAACTGCGCTGGCGCCGAGCCGCGCGCTGGTTCAGGTGCGCTCCAGGAACACCTGTGCGGGACAAGGGGCAGGGACTGAGCGGGGAATGCCCACCCTTGTGACAGTCTGCCTTGTAGAAACCACGTCTGTCTTTCCATTATAACAAGGAAATATTCTGTATTCAGTATGGGTTGCTAAATATATTCTTAGAGAAGAATGCTGCTTAGAGGAAGAAATTACCACTTAGTAGAAATAATAAACTTCCGTGGGAACCCTGAAGTGTAATAGCACTGAACCTGTTTTTATTTCTCTTGTGCAACAAAGAATCAGCTGTAGAAGAGAACTGAGAGTTTTTACTTGGAATGACAGCATAGCAATATCAGTAGAACACATTTATATTCCTCTTGGTGCCTGTTACTCATCTTTGCCAATGCTTATTGAAGTTTTTTTTTAGTCCAGGAAATCCTCTTTTTAGATGATAGAGCTTAAGGGTTTATTTAGACTGGAGTGGTTCTTCTTTTTAAGACTGGTATTTATTTTGCTTCATAGTGGATAAATAGGATGTGGTATCTCAGATTTATTTTTGTATACATATCTTGCATAACTTGGTATTGTGTGTATGGATTTTTTATATGTGTATAGTATGTATTGTGTTATGAACAATACATGTGTCTGTAAGCTTTTACACCTTATGCTCATGGCTTATATTTCACTAAGGATAGGAAAATAGTTCACACTCTTGAATTCCTGCTCCCCTTCCCCAAATGCATACTAATTGAACTCTGAACATGATGGATATGTAATTTGTCCAGATAGAAATTAAGGTGATGTCAGTAGTGTCTATGAATATATGCAGTGAGCATACATAACCAGTGCACCACGGGATGTGGTTTTGGTTGGGTTTTTCCCCCCAGTCTTTCCTTTTGACTTGGCCTGACTTACAGGAGATATGTAACACTCTAGTGTATCCTCCAGTTATCCCTGCTGTTACTCGACTAGAACCCATTAGTGTCATGATTCATTAGGAAGTTTGAAGGCTTTATGTCTTTTAAATTCCTGCTTAAAGTTATCTTTTTTTAAAAAGTTGCATTCAGGAAGACAGTGGCAGCATTTCCAGCCCCTTAAGGCTGGTTGGAGAAGCATACTGGTTCTTGGCAGGTCTTTGTCATTTGGTGGAGAGTCAAACTGGAGAAGATTTTGTGAGCTGGTCAGTTTAGCCATTAGGTTTAAATTAGTCTTCTGTTTTTCAGTGTATATAAGGGATTTAACTTGACCTCAGATTTAGTTATGATTATGTGCATTTTATTAATCTGTTACAGAAATAAGTTGTTTAGCTGATGATTGAAGTTTAGGAACGCTGTACCTAGGTAAATTTTTTATTTTACTTTTTTTTATTTTACTTTTAGCGTTTAGGTTTTTTTGGTCTTTTAGATCTAATGAAGTAATAAAATGCTTTAATTTTGGTAACTGTTTTACATGTGTATGTTTGTTGAAGGTACCTGTAGGAATACATTTACCCTTCAGATGATGCCCTTCAGTCTGATGCCAAACTCTTTATCTATTGTAATTTGACTAAGTTTAGCAGTTCTAACCATAAACCTTAGTATTCTTCTAATAATTCTTTAAAAAAAACTCCATTATTTTTCTTAATATTAAAAGCTTTTTCTATTTTGGTGATACAGGTGTACCTGTATGCAGCAAATATGCACTACTAGTGTAATATTCTTTTAACTCAAGGCCATATATCAAGACAAGCAAGCAATAGAAAATGATAATTTTTTGTCTGCTTGTTCCTCTGGGGTTTTTTTTGGTTTTTTTTAATATATTTTGATGATGTTGGTACCCAGGTAGGTCCTGAAGCTTTTGTTTGGGATGGGAAGACAGATGTTTATGTGGAAGCCAAAGCCATGGTTGTATGTTGAGAACAGGAGATAGATTTGTGTTTCTGCAGTGCTCAGTTACCTGTCAGTGTGTTTTGCAGCTGGATGGTTTTCCTGTGTTGGCAGGGCCCAGGGTGAAATGCTGAGTTAGCTGGAGGAAGAGAGGTGTTGCAATGTCCAGCCCAGTCTGCTGTTACAATTTGGGCTTTCAAAATCTGCAGGTGCACTTGTATCAAACTGCACTGGTGCCCTGAAGTTGTCTTTCAGGAACTCACTTCAGATCTTGCCAGTGATATTTCTGACAGGTGATGAGTTCTGGTCCTTCCTGTGAAAGGAATGCTGCTGCTGCTGCATGCCCAGTCAAATTTAGAGTAATTAATGACAGCAAGCAGATGTCATTGCCACATGTAAACTCTAGAACTTAGTCTTTGCCATTTGGGCATTTGTTATTTTGATGATTGAAGAAATATGATTTAAAAATAAATCACAATTAAAAAAAAAAAAAAAATATCCTTGTATGCAGTGTGATTTTAAAAAAAACCCGAACAAGTCAAACCAAAATAGATTTCTTCCCAACCCCTCCCAGCCTGATATTCCCTGGTTGAGATGCCAGGAAAAGCACTAATGAAGGAAGAAAAATATCTACAGGAAAAAGACAACCATATTCAAAGTAGGGCTTTATAAAGAAAATAGAAATACAGTTTCCTCTAAGTTTCATACCTAAGTTGATTGTTACTGAATATTTGTACACAAACTGTTGTTGTGATTGTCTTCACTGCCTTTTATTTTACAGAGGATCTGTAAATGTGTTAGTTCAAGTTGATGAGAAAATAGTTTTATCTTAGAAAAACATGCAATAACTAATATAATGCAGAGATATGGGACACAAGTTTACTGTTTTGTGAGAAAGCTAAATGGAATTGGAAGTTGTGTATTTTGTTGTGCCAATTTCTAGCCTCACTAACGTACTTAGATGTTCTCATTCAAAGTTTTGTGTATAATTTCTGTGTTGAGAAACCAGGAGTGAAGACAGGATTGATAACAGGGACCAAATAAATTTAAACACATAGATGCTTTCCTCTGTGTTCTTACTGGAATTAACTAAGAGTAGGAAATAAAGCAGGTGTCTGAAATTCTGTGATAAAAGCTTTATTGAACCATGATTTCTTTATTTTATTATGTTGATGCATAATATAACAAGCAATCAATTGGAAATTGTTCAGTTTTGGTAAGATTTTTTCCAAGATGAATCCATAGTAAATTTTATATAACTTGATATATTTTTATTTCAAGGAACAAGAAATGTATTCAACTTCTTTAACAAGTCTTTTTGCTAGTTAAGGACTTGAAAAATTGATCTGAATATGCAATGATAATGAATATTCTGTATTCCTGATAAGTTCCTGTTAAAAAGGAGAAAAGGTAAACAGGCAGCTGCAGCTGGACAGTTCTCTTCTGAAAGTGGCTACCAGTCATTTGGTAATATTGTTAAAAACCCCAAAATTATACTTTGGATTATTTTCATTTTGTTTTTGTGGTAGCCTGGTACTCTCTCAATTTTCCTCAGAATGAGTGTATTTGAGAGTACTTGAAAGGAGTGAAAGAAACAGGAAACATTGTTTTTGCCCAGTAGTTGAAGAAAATTAGTTCCAAAAGATCCTAATCTGTTTCTTCTCAAAAAACGCAGTGTTTTTCTTGAATAAAATGTAGTTTCTGTGCAGGTAACAAAGCAGAAATTATTTTATGTATTGAATCATGTCTTAAAATTCAACTATTGTGTAATTGTTTAACTTTAATTATTAATTTATTGACTAGCCTTGTGTGTGTGTGTCTATCTAATCTAAGAGCTTTTTGACTGGCTGAAATAGGTATGTACCTAACAAATCTATATTTGCTCCAAGTATAAAGAAGATAATAGGAAATAAGTGCAAAATAATGTATTTTCTTTCTCAACTTTTATTGTAGTTTTTTTTCTCCATTCCAGAATAACAATCTCTCTGTGTTAGTACATTGCTCTGTAATATCATGATTTCCATTCTTCTGTTTATTTTTTTTTTTCAATAGAGCACTGAAATTGTCTTGTATATTAAAAGAGTCTACTTTTACCTGCAGTGTGCTTTGAAAATGTCTGAAAATTCCAGTGACAGTGATTCGTCTTGTGGCTGGACTGTCATCAATCACGAGGTACCCCCTTTCACATTGGTAGATTTCTGTCAGTTTAAGGCTTTCTATATGGAGTAAAATATTATTTCAGCTTCATAATTCTTGTTTTGTGTGGATTTTGCATACCAACAGAGAATATAGATGAGAAATTTATAAGTAAATCATAAAACTACTATTTACAAAAAGTATACTTTTACTATAGTTGATATAAATTTTGATATTTAAAAGAATTTCTTTTTCTGCAAAGGTTTTACTTTGAAGAGCTGGTAGAATTTTAGTGGCATGCATTCTTCTGTTCCATTCTGCATGAAAAATAAGCATTCTGTGTAATTTGTCTGTTATTGCTAATAGATTTCTTCTTCTCCTGATAAATCTGTACCCTCACCAAAACAAAGTTGGAAATACTGGGCAGGAAAATTATCTTGTGCAGAAGAGAATGATTCTGTGATTTCAAATTTTTTCTACCACTAAGGTATCAAATCCTAATTTCAGCAGTGGCTGTTCAGGAGCAGCCCTCTGTCCTTGCATAATCTTCCTTATAGAAAATTAGGACAGGGCCAGGTGTATATTCCATGGCCATGATGGGACAGGTGTCTGGCTCTGCTGTTGGTTTCACAGTTTGCATTGTGTGGATGAAATCAATGCTGTCAGTGGGGTCTGGAGAGCAGGACTCTTATGGCAAGGCTTAGGTTTGATCAAGTGACTGCACTGACTGTGGTGGTTGAAACGGTGCCTTCAACACCTGCTCAGGTGTAGACACATGAATGTAGATAAAAAGAGTGTTTTATCTTCCCACAGTGGACAAGGAGGGCCTGAGTTACTCAGATCCTGTGAGAAGCTCTTCCTGGTAGAGAGGATATATCCAATGTCCTTTCTTCCTTTAGCCCTGAGGATTTTTGTCTCTCTTCAGATCCTGGGTGGGTTGGTTTGCTTGTTTGGTTTGGTTCTTAAGTATTTAGCTTTGTCTTGTAAACTGAGGAGGCCACTGAGCCAGAATCCTCAGGACAGATGGGTTGACAGTTTTCCTGGAATGACACTTAGGTATTGCCTGCACCTACTTGTTGCCTGCCCTAGAAAAAAATTGAAGGATCAGTGCTTGAGATGTTTCATTCAGAGGAGAAAAGTAGGAAAAAATGACTGAAGATCATGCTGTCTTAATGGTCAGCTGTCCTTCATTGCACACTCCCCTGTTTTGCAGATTACTATGAAAATGGGTAACTTGCAACCAAGGTATTACAAACTTATGATTGCACTCATGTTTTGACAGTTCCATGTCACAAGTAATGCAGTTGGAAGTTTATAAATATTGGGCCATGCTTCCATTTCTGTTGACAGCAAAGTGGTATTTAAGAGATGGTTTAAACTTCTTTTCCTTGTTTTGGGCTGTATGACAGGTTGGGAATCTTGTTACCAAAAGAAACAGAGAACTAATGCACTCCATTCCTCAAGGCCAACTGGCCTACAAGAGTGTACAGGCTGCTGAACTCAGAGTTCAGATAAAAGTGAAAGGATTTAGAGGGTGAGTTCAGCAGTTGAGTTATTCAGCTGTGAAGTGCAGACTGTATTTTCATTCTTGGGATGGTTATTTTAAACTGTAACTGCAAATGAATTATGCAGTCTAAATAAGTTAAAATAACAGAAGATTGTAGGATGGCTGGGATTTGTCTAGCCAAAGTAGGAAAGATTTCTGTGACATGGAGATTTTGTGTTCCCAGTTATTCATCCCTGATTCAGTGAAATAAAAATGGGGAAACACTGGTGTTTGAGAGCTGACATTATTAGCATTCTTCTGGTAGGACAGCTTTGAATCTGAGCATGAAGAAAATAGAATGGATGGGATGGCAAGGTACTCTTCACACAGCTGTTACCCAGGGAGAGGGAACATGGGCTTCTGTATAGTGCAGTGAGTTGATTTGGATATTTAGGACGGGGTAGAACTATGGGTTAGACAGATTTGGAGTTCTGTAGTATTATTTTCTCACATACTCTTGTGACCTGTATTGATGATGACACAGTGGAATCTGGTTTTGGATGTGTTTTGCAGTGAGTTAAGGGGCAAGAAGTGGCTGTTGTCCAGGCTGTGACTGCAGGGAGCTGGCAGCTGTGGGTGCTGGACTGAGTTTGCACAGAGGAGCAGTGCTGTGCATTGTTGGACTGCTCCTAGGAAAGGACTTGCTAATTTTGTGTGGGAGGATAGGGAGGTGACAATATTTTTTCTTGACCTCATTGCTATTGCTGAAATGGAAGGCTGCTGAAGGTCCAGCATCAGATGAAGTGTCAGAGAGTTCATGCATTCACACCTGGCTACGTGTTTTTAAGAAAAGGATTCCTTACCATGTGCTCAGCTAGCCTGTTTTCCTGGGTTTTTTGCTAAAATCATAATCTGCCTTAAGCAATACTCCTGGTGTTTTGCTTCTTGTGGAGCCTGGGCAAACTGAAATGTTGTTCTTCTTATTCACAATTTAGGAAATGAATGTAGTGGTTCTATCACATCAGGAAACAATTGTCACATAATAAACCTGCATACGTATCTATAAAACCCAACAAACCCAAAATCCCCAAATAACTTTGTACTTTCTATCCTGAGATTTCACTCAGATTATAGTAAATTGCTTGTAAATATGATGTGAATTTCTGCAAAATATATCAAATCAAACTTGTAATACTTATGTAGTCAAAAGGAAAAAAGATACAAAGTGTTTTAAAAAGGAAAAAAGATACAAAGTATTTAACAATTTACCAAAGCAGTTAATTTTTGAAGCCTCTTTAAAAGAAACATAACTTTGTAACATGATTATAGAATGTGTCTTTTTGAGGCATCTAATCTTCCTGAAGTACCTCTCCATAAAAACAAAAGCACACATGTTTGCTTGAGTCCTGAAATGAGACATCCAGAGAAACTGATCTGGAAGTATTGCTGCTACTGTAATTTCACACCTGCTATTGCAAAAATAACTACCTCTGTTTACAAAAACAGCTCAACTTATTTATGGATCAGAGAGACTTAGTATTTGTCAGTTATGTTTTGCATGTTTGTAGTTTGCTGATAG